CCCTGGCAACATCCTTGTAAATCTTTTCTGAATCCCTTTCAAATTTCACAATATCCTTCCTATAGCAGGGAGACCAGAATTGCATGTAGTGTTCCAATAATGGCCTAACCAATGTCCTGTACAGCCACAACATGATCTCCAAACTCCTATATTCAATCCACTGACCAATAAATGCAAGCATACCAAATGCCTTCTTCAGTATCCTTTCTACATCTCACTCCACTTTCAAGGAACTATGAACCTGCATTCCAAGATCTCTATGTTCAGCAAAACTACCAAGGACCTTACCATTAAATGTGTAAGTCCTGCCCTGATTTGCCTTTCCAAAACACAGCACTTCCCAGTTATCTAAATTAAACTCCATCTGCCACTCCTCAGCCCATTGGCTCATCTGATCAAGTTTCCATTGTATTCTGAGGTAACCTTCTTCACTGTCCACTACACCTCCAATTTTGGTGTCATCTGCAAACTTACTCACCATACCTCCTTTGTTCACAACTAAATCATTTATATAAATGATGAAAAGCAGCAGACCCAGCACCGATCCTTGTGGCACATCCTGGTCACAGGCCTCCAGTTTGAAAGGCAACCCTCCACCACCACCTTCTGCCTGTGATAGCAAGAACTGCAGATGCTGGAGTCAGAGTCACTACAGTGTGGAGCAGGAGGAACACAGCAGGTCAGGCAGCAAAGGAACAGGGGAGTTGATGTTTCAGGTTGGGACCCTTTCTCAAGACTGGGAAGGGGGAAGGGAGCTGGGAAATAAATAGAGAGAAGGATGGGATGGGGCTGGGGCAATTCCTCCCTATGGCCTAAACATGGATTTTACCAGTTTCAAAACCTCCCCACCCCCAGCCTCATCCCATGACCAACCCTCCCTCTCATCCCAACCTCCTTGACCTGACACAATTTGTCCATCTTCTCTCCCACCTATCCACCCCTCCCACCTCACTGACCAATTCCCACCATTACCTACCTGCACTCACCTATCACCATCCCACCTACCTTCCCAGCCCCACCCCTCCTCTCTTTCTTTATTTCTGAGCTCCCTTTCCCCTCCCCGTTTCTGAAGAAGGGTCCTGACCTGAAATGTCAACTCTCCTGCTCCTCTGATGCTGCTTGGCCTGCTGTGTTCCTCCAGCTCCACACTGTGTTATCTCATAATCAGTGCTTGCCACCTTTCCAAATACATATAATTCCCGTCCGTCAAGATTCCCTCCAACAACTTGTCCACCACCGATATCAGGTTTACTGGTCTATAGTTCCCTGGCTTTTCCTTACCACCTTTCTTAAATAGTGGCACCATATTAGCCAAACTCCAGTTTTCTGGCACCTCTCCTATGGCTATTGATGATATAAGTATCTCAGCAAGTAGCCCAGATATCACTTCCGTAACTTCCCATAGAGTTCTAGGGGACACCTGATCAGGTCCTGGGAATTTATCCACCTTTATGCATTTTAAGATGTCCAGCACCACCCCCTCTATATCATGGGCATTTTTTAAGAGGTTGCCATTTATTGCCCCATGTTCCCTACCTTCCATATCCTTCTCCACAGTAAACACTGATAGAAAACATCAGTGTTTGGTATCTCCCCTATCACCTGCTTTTCCACACACAGGTGGCCTTGCTTATCTTTAAGGGGCCCTATTCTTTCCCCAGTTACTCCTTTTGTCCTTAATGTATTTCTAGAATCCCTTTGGATTCTCCTTAAACCTTTTTGACAAAACTATCCCATGTCCTGTTTTTGCCCTCCTGAGTTCTCTCTTAAGTATACCTCAATGCCTTCATACTCTTCTAGGAATTTACTAGATCTCTACTGTCTATACCCAACATATACTTCCTTCTCATTCTTAACCAAAACCTCAATTTCTCCAGATGTAGGGAATAATCAGGAAGGCTAATAGAATGTTGGCCCTTATTTCAAGGCGAGTTGGAGTATAAGACTATGGAAGTCTTACGACAAATGTACAAGGTGCTGGTAAGACCAAATCTGAAGTACTGTGAGCAGTTTTGGTCCCCTTATTTAAAGAAAGGCATTATTTAATTGTAAGGAGAAGATTCACTTGGATGATCCCTTAAGGGACTGTCTTATGATACAGTCTCTCTCTTCACAGTTATTGAATGTTTTGAACCCACGTTGTTCTGATCCGTGATGCACCATTTGGTTATTGAGAATGTTGTTATTTTTAAAAAGGTTAGCTAGGCTGCTAATGCCGACAGTAACAAAATTCGTCCCTCAGGGGTTTCAGCAAACTCCTGGAATCTGCTGAGTAGCAACACTAATTACGCCACAGACAGGCCCAGGAATCCTAGAATCTTACAGCAGTCAGAGCTCTTTCAGAAGACTCCTGACAGCTCATTGAAAACAAAACCGACTCAAAGTTCCAGACTGGCATCCCCCATAATGCATGTGGCACGGAGGCTCAGCGGTTAGCACTGCTGCCTCTCAGTGTCAGGGACCCGGGCTTGATTCCAGGCTCAAGTGACTGTGTGTGGAGTTTGCACATTCTCCCCATGATCGTAAGGGTTTCCTATTGTTTCCCGCCACAGTCCAAAGATGTGTAGGTTAGGTGCATTGGGCATGAGAAATGCAGAGTAACAGGGATTGAATGGGGTGGGGGGGGTGGGTCTGGGTGGGATGCTTTTCATAGGGTTGGTGTGGACTTGATGGGACAAATGGCCTGCTTCCACACTGGGAAGAAGGGACAGATCCTAGCCTTGACAGTCTTTGTTTAGGCTCAATCATTTTTTCTGTGGATGTCTGCATCGACCCGTTGATACTTCAGTTGGGAACGGAAGAGTCACAAAAGGTTCAGGTTGCAGAAATCTTTGCAGGCAATATCAATGTGCACATCATTAACACCAACTGGGAGATCTGGGCATTATACTGTTCACAAATTGACTGCTGTGCTTCTTGTATTAAAACAGCCATCACACTTCAGAAATTATTAATTAGCTGTAAAGTACTTTAGAATGTGCCAAGGTTGGGACCAATGCCATATTATTGCAAGTCTTCCTTTTTGTTTGAGAGTCTATGATAATACTGCTCACTGTTCAGTCAAAATCAAATTGCCACACCCTATCAGGAAGTGCATTCTGAATCATAACTCTCTGTAAATAGAATTCTCCTCCGTTCCCCTTTTCTATTTTGCCAATTATTTTAAATCTAGATGTTTGGTTACTAAAAGAATCATAGAATCCCTACAGGCCATTTGGCTCTACAAGTCCACATCGCCCCTCCGAAGAGCATCCCATTCAGACCCATTCCCCTACCCCTGTATTTCCCCATGTCTAACCCACCCTAACTTAAACATCCCTGAACAGTATGGGCAATTTTGCATGGCCAATCCATCTACCCTATACATCTTTGGATTGTCAGAGGAAACCCATGCAGACACGGAGAATGTGCAAACTCCACACAAACAGTCACCCAAAGCTAGAATTAAACACTGGTCCCTTGCACTGTGAAGTAGTAGTGCTAACCACTGAGCCACCATGCCACCTAATCTAAACATCCACATTCCAAAGTACTTTACAGCTAAAGACTCTCCAGGAACATACCCAGTCTCAGCAGACAGTGATGAATAGGTGCAACATTGCTCACGTTATTAGTCAGTTGAGATTATTGCCTGGACTTACTGCTCCTTCAATCTGTGACCATGGCTCTTGTCCCTACCTGACCCTGCTATTCTGTCGTCCTAGCCCATCAACATTCCAAGCAGAATAACAAAGCAAATTTATAAATATCTAATACAGCTCCCAGAGGGACCAGATTGCCATGATCTGATTACTCACACAGAACAAATACGCTCGAGTGGCTAAAGGCTGGAATCTTAATTGAAGGTATTGTTATGTTTTCCTACGTGAATACTTGGGTGATGACAGACCTACCCAATTGCCAGGTTAGGCCTCTGGTCAAGTGGGAATGGCCTGGAGTAGGCTACAGACCAGCAACAACACAGGAGCTTGTAAGTTGGCTAATGAGGGGGTCAGTGATCCTGGGATGAAGTTGGAGATCAGAAGGAATAATCAGCAATTCTGGGAGGGATCCAAATTTTAGGGTAGATCCATTATGCTGAGGACCAGAAGTTACTGATTATGGGAAGGACTGTACAATCCTGGGTAGTCCAAAACACTGAAACTAACCTACTTGCTTCCAACAAAGATAGGAATGGTGAAGCATCCCAATTCCTTCTGGTACAGGAGGATTAAACAGTGCTTACTTCTTCCATGCAGCAGTCCTCACCTCCCTTTAGCTGTTGGATTTCCTGACATCAAAGAAAGCCAGCTGACCAGGATTGAGCCCAAAATTCAGGTGACATGTACAGTATGCAGTCTCACTATAACTAAATAACCAATTGCACCTTGGGAATATTTACCCATCAACCAGCATTAGAACACAGCACCTCGTCATTGCCACCAGTGGAATCTCAGTTGATGCTGTGATATCTATGTTACAACTATCCATTCATGCACTCATTAACTGAAATTCTTGAGACCTTTAAAGATTTAATACTGTCTTCGAAAAGGGAGAGATCCTATCCTTGACAGTCTTTGTTTAGGCTCAATCATTTTTTTCAGTGGATGTCTGCATCGACCTGTTGATACTTCAGTTGCGAACGGAAGAGTCACAAGAGGTTCAGGTTGCAGAAATCTTTGCAGGCAACATCAACGTGCGCGTCATTAACACTGACTGGGAGATCTGGGCATTATACTGTACACAAATTGACTGCTGTGCTTCCTGTATTAAAACAGCCACCACACTTCAGAAATTATTAATTAGCTGTAAAGTATTTTGGGACATGCCAAAGTTGGGAAAGATGCCATATTAATGCAAATCTTCCTTTTTGTTTGAGATTGCTTTTTAAATTATAAACATTGAGACTGTTAGCATTTTAAGTTTCTTTAGTTGATGGACCCAGGGTTGAGGTGGTGAAAGGGGATTACTTAGAATCTTTAACTTCGCCTTGTGGAGAGTAAACTGGTTGGACTCATCACTGACTGAAACAACTCTCATTTATTTGTGAAAATGAAAACCTCAGGTTTTCAATACAATGTGCCCAGATACAGTTTTATGTCTGGTAGAGGTTGAAATTCTGCTTCACATCATGCTATATTTCCCAGTGAAAATCTTGTGAAATTCCTTGATACTTCGTTTTGGTCAAGCAGCTAAAATTTAAAAAAAAAACTAATCACTTCCAGTGACACCTTTCAGGTTTATTATCAAATTTCGTTTTCTGTGGGTTTCTCTTAGCAGTGTTCAAGAGATTAAACTATAATTCCCACAGACTCCAGTGCAATCCTGGAGGGGTGGAGGATCATACTTGTCCAGACTGGGAATGTCAGACAGCTTTGTGTGAATTTCAAGGGATTGTGAAAATCTGGTTAAGTTGCAGGGTCTGAGGCAGCTCAGATCCTTTGGAGGACTCTGACTGGGGTATCAAAATGATGGGTTACACCACAAAATGACGTCCAATTCTCTGTACTGTGGCTGAGCTAGACAGTTGAGAAGGAGATTTTTGAGAAGAGACCCTGATTCATCAAAACTATAACTGCCATTGCTGCTACTCCTGTTCTAGTTCTGTTGGGAGTAATAGTGAACCCAGCCTTAATTTGTGGGACAACAAGGTGTAGAGCTGGATGAACACAGCAGGCCAAGCAGCATCATAGGAGCAGGAAGGCTGATGTTTCGGGCCTAGACCCTTCTTCAGAAATGCTTCTTCCTGCTCCTATGATGCTGCTCGGCCTGCTGTGTTCATCCAGCTCTACGCCTTGTTGTCTCAGATTCTCCAGCATCTGCAGTTCCTACTATCTCTTAATTTGTGAGGCTGTGTCTCACAGCTGAGTTAAGGCCATGCTCTGCTAACTACCATTATTTATTTGGATTTGACTCAGCAATCAAGGCAAAATTCCAGCAACTGACTAGAAAATCATCCAGGGTCCTAAAGCTGTGTGATGAAATAAAGCCAATCAACTAACCTGACAGAATTGGAAATTTCAGCTGGATCCTCTCCTTTGCAGGAGCCAAACAATAACAGCACATCTGGGACTTGTTCAATATATAATGGTTCCACGCATGTATATCCAAATGTTATTTTAATATTGACTGAGTCTGAATAAATAACAATTCAGGTATAAAGGGATTTCATTTAAGATGGTAATGAAATATCAGAGGATATCGTATCCCCTCCACTGTGATAAGGATGCAAAGGCAGCAGACCTGCATCCGTGATTCACTGACTGCTGGTACATTTATAGCAAAAGGGCAAAGGTTTTGATCTGACTTCTCTCAAGTTCAGTTGAGCAACAACGTTCAGATGGTGGTCCCTGATCCACCTGAGCTGGTTCAAAGGGCACGCACATTATTCAGCTTCGATCACACAGGTCGCCGGATCCGAGCTAACATTTGTAAGTTAATGAAGTTAGCTTTTTATGTAAAAAAAAATACAAAGAAAGACTAGCAGCATCATGCAGCTGCTATTTTTGCATGGTCTCCACTTTCAGAAGTCCCAATCATCCAGATCCAGCTGCTCCATGCTGGATGTCAGTCCGGCCACTCCTCGCAACTCATGTGGGTGAGTTCCTTTCAGATCTGTCATAGGGGTTACGGGTCGAAGCAGGTCAGGAAGCACCTCCACCACCCGACGCTTTAGCTTGGAAAATAAAGAAAACAAAGTCAGTTCGTGTCACAAGTCAGAGTAATGGAAATGATGGCTTTGGTGAGCTGACAAGCTAGCGAACGTGAAGCAACAACCCCTCCCTGCACGAACCCTTTGTGTAGAAACTGAAAAAATATTCTTGCAAGGGAGGTGACCACTGGCAAGGCTGAGATATGTAACAACTTTTTTTCAAATTCAGTCTTGGGATGTGGGCATCGCTGATTGTGATGTGGGTGAGCATTTCTTGCCCATTCTTAGTTAGAGAGTTTATGAAATTAACAGTAAAAGTATCCTAAATGGTCACAAATTACAGTATTGTGACACTGGAGGAATAATGGCAAGAATTATAGTCACTTTTGTAATGTGTTTTTATAACTCAGCACCCAGTATCTGGAGTCCCTATCAATCTTGAACAGAATTATACTTGGTTCATCTCGCTAACCATTAAAAGAAGACAAGGAACCTTCCTCTTTGCGCTTACTTCTCTCATAATTCTTCCAATGTTTTATCTCCCATCATTTCATTCCCACCTTCCCATTTCTCCCTTCCACCTCTCAACCCAAGATGCCTCGCAGTAAGAGCAGTTCATCAAAATGACAGACTTACTAGGAGCTTAAGAGAAAACCCTGTTCCTTGAGAACATCTCCTCCATGCCTCTAATAAAGTGGGAGGATACAGACTTATGGGACAACTGAATATATGAAGGATAAATCACTGCACATCATGGACGTACCTGCTTCACAAATGAATGGTTGAGCAATGCATTGGCTGAGGGTCTATAATGAACACACAAGGACAAGAATCAATTAAAATGTTGAAATAAGCTGCATTAACTGAAGCAGTATTCCAGTGAGGGTGATGCAGATAAATCACAGGTTGGTAAAATGCCTCCTCAAAGCTGCAGTTAGTAAAATCAGCAATGAGCAACTGTGCCACATTGACCAGGCAGTTTGGGTTCAATCCCTAACTGTGTTGCACTGATTAATTTTAGCCAAATGCTACAATCGGCCTGGAGACGGTAGCAAATAATCCATGACCCACACTGAAATCTGAACAAGTTGTTATCAGAATATGACTTGGATGACAGTCCTGAAATAACAAATGTCCCAGATCATGCACGGAGGTTTGAAACAAAAACAGAAATTGCTGGAGCAACTCAGCAGGTGTGGCAGTGTCTGTGAGGAGAAAGCAGAGTTAATGTTTCAGGTTCAGTGACCCTTCTTCTACGTTCTGAAGAAAGGTCACTGGACTCGAAACTTTAACTCTACATTCTCCTCACAGATGTCCCACACCTGCTGAGTTGCTCCAGCAATTTCTGTTTTTGTTTCAGATTCCTAGCATCCGCAATTTCTTTGTTTTATTTTCATTCATAGAGATTGACTGGTTGGCTGAAGCATCAAAGCAAGAGCTACAGTGGGCAGAATCAAAGGAACTTTATATCCAATATATTCTATCCGACCTCAAGATGTCAGAAAGTCAAAATGGAAAGGGTTTCACTTTCCAGTATTATCAACGTTATAAAATTTATATTTATATGTTTAAAATAAAAATTAGAATTTATTTGTTCATTAAAGATTTATTTTTATGTAAAGACTAATTTTGGGAATGAAATCCAGGCCAGAAACAGCTAACAGCATGTTTGCGCTCACAATGATTGTACCTCTGCTCAGGCTCCCGCCGTAAACACAACTCCACAAAGTTGTGAAAGAGCCCAGAGAAGGTCCTGTTGTATGGATGTTGCACCTGTTCTCCATTTGTGGTTCGTGTTCCACAAGCAGCAGAGCTCTCCACGATGCCTGAATCCACTGCTGACTGAGAGTTTGTCATCAACAGCTCTTCTGCAGGGATAGTAGTGGTGTCCAGGAGGCAGGGCACTGTACCATTCAGCTTCTCAAGCAACATCTGAGAACAGCAAAAGATCAATGGGAATGAGAGAGAAATGTGGAAATCTAAGTATTGAAAACCAACAAATCAATGAACTTGGTTCTCTGTGGGAGAAAATGTAAAGAAAAGCATGGACTTGATGGGCTCCTTCTCTATCATTACCTCTACTGTCTTGCCTTTGGTCCTCTGTTTGCCACAACTTTTCTGCACTATTGATTTACTGGACTGCACCCTCAACACTGTGCAGTCCAAATTTTAGACAACTCACAACAAACTATCTTTAGCAGTAAACTAAAAGGATGGTTTATCTAAACATTGAACCTGGGGGATAATTTCCAACACATAAGCAAACAAGGAAAGAAGAAAGCAAAGAGGAAAAGTAACAAACATCTATCAGAGAACTCTCAGAATAATTATGGTACAGGAGATTATTGACCTTAATGACTGTAAGGCACATTGTCCAGTGGAGGCCCTTTTGGAAGGGGGGGAAGGGAGAGGTAGAGACTTAGCAATATGATCTCTCTGTTGGATCATAACATCAGTAACATCAGGGGGAGGTTGTTGAGTTGATTGATTGTTGAGCAGCTTTTTAAAAAAATATTCATTAATGGGATGATGGCATTGCTGGCTATGCCAGCATTTATTGCCCATCCCTAACTGCCACGAGGAACATTAGTGAACTAGATGGTCACCATAGAGTCATACGAGACTCTTAATTCCAGATTCTTTAATACATTCAAATTCCACCATCTGCTGTAGCAGGATTCAAAACCAGGTCCCCAGAACATAGGTCCCTGGATTAACAGTCCAGCTATAATACCACTATGCCATCATCTCCTAACGCTGTTGTTACAGACTGTGTTTAAATTCTAGTAATTTTAGTAAAACAAATTTCTGAACTAGTACAGGGAAGCAGGCATTGTGGTGGGGTGACTTATAAATCGTTTCATTATATTTTTCATATAAAAGTATATGTGACAATAAATTTCTATTCAATTCTGGGAAGTTAAGAATTTAAAAGCACAGGAGGGGGAGCTGGTTCATGGTAAGAATGAGGTAGTTCTACTTTCCACCAATCTCCGGTATATACTACAATACAAAAATAATGCTAAAGTAAGGAAAAGTCAGTAAAGTTAAACTAAGTTTATAAGAACACAAAAGGTACAGCTGGACAGCTCAGTGAAGCAGAATGTCCATTCTACGGCCTGTGGGAAATCGTGGACACTTCACATGACCCAGACAAATCATGCATAGGAAGTGTTTCAGGCTGCACAAGTTTGAGCTACTGGCTTCAAGTAGCAGCTGGAGTAGCAGCTTAGGGACAAACAAGCAGATAGGGAATGGATGACTGTGAAGCAGTCAAGATAAACAGGCAAGCAGTGCACAAGTCCCCAGTGATCCTGTTTGCTAATTGGTTTTCCATTTTGGAGACCAGCAAAGGCTCCTCAAAGAAATGCAGTCAGATCCAAGCTCAGGGCACCACAGGTAGCTAAACTGTACAAAACTGGGAAAAAAAAAAAAAAAAAAAAAGAGTGGGAGAGCATTAGAGAGAAGGGATTCTTTAGTTAGGAAAGCAGACAGGCTTTTCTGTGGCTCTTAATGTGACTACAGGATGGCATGTTGCTTCTTTCTGGTGCCAGTCATAACCATCACAAAACAGCTGCAAGATCTTCCTGTGAGGGACAGTGAACTGCCAGAGACTGTGGTCCACATTGGAACCAGTGACACAGGTAGAAAGAGGATGTGGTCTTGCAATCTTAATTTAGGAACCTAGAAAGCAGAACCACTAAAGAAGTAATCTCCAAATTATTCCCAGTACCATGTGCAAATGAGTGTAGGAATAGGAAGATAAAACAGATGAATGTGTCGCTGAAAGATGGTGCAGGAGACAGGACATTAGATTCCTGAACTACTGGAGTGGCTCTGGTGGACATAGTATAGCTACAACCTGGAGGTTGCATCTGAACAGAGCCAGAGCCAAGCTCCTTTTGGTGCATTTGTTCGTGCTGTTTGGGAAGATTTAAGCTAACTCAGCAGGGATGTTTAAACCAAGAGATAATAACAAGGTGCACAATTACTGGGAGAAGCAGATAACACTGGAATAGACAATAGAAAGCTAATAGATGGAGTCAGAGCGAGGGAGAAATAATTGGAGTCTAAATCAGAGATAAGGTGAATGCATGTGAATACATCAAGTATACATAATAAACAGAGAACAAAGAAAATTACAGCACAGGAACAGGCCCTTCAGCCGTCCAAGCCTGTGCGGATCCAGATCCTCTATCTAAACCTGTCGCCTATTTTCCAAGGATCTGTATCCCTCTGCTCCCTGCCCATTCATGTATCGGTCTAGATACATCTTAAATGACGCTATTGTGCCCACCTCTACCGGCAGCGTGTTCCAGACACCCACCACCCTCTGCATAAAGAACTTTCCACACATATCTCCCTTAAATTTTTCCCCTCTCACCTTGAAATCATGACCCCTAGTAATTGAGTCCCCCACTCTGGGAAAAAGCTTCTTGCTATCCACCCTGTCTATACCTCTCATGATTTTGTAAATCGCAATCAGGTCCCCCCTCAACCTCCGTCTTTCTAATGTAAATAATCCTAATCTACTCAACCTCTATTCATAGCTAGTGCCCTCCATACCAGGCAACATCCTGGTGAACCTCCTCTGCACCCTCTCCAAAGCATCCACATTCTTTTGGTAATGTGGCGACCAGAACTGTATGCAGTATTCTAAATGTGGTCGAACCAAAGTCCTATACAACTATAACATGACCTGCCAACTCTTGTACTCAATACCCCGTCCAATGAATGAAAGCATGCCGTATGCCATATGCCTTATGCCTTCTTGACCACTCTATCCACCTGCGTTGCCACCTTCAGGGTACAATGGACCTGAACAGCCAGATCTCGCTGTGTATCAATTTTCCCCAGGGCTTTTCCATTTACCGTATAGTTTGCTCTTGAATTGGATCTTCCAAAATGCATCACCTCGCGTTTGCCTGGATTGAACTCCATTTGCCATTTCTCCGCCCAACTCTCCAATCTATATTCCGCGGCATCTGCTACTCCACCAATCTTAGTGTCATCTGCAAACTTGCTAATCAGACCATCTATACCTTCCTCCAGATCATTTATGTATATCACAAACAAGTGGTCCCAACACGGATCCCTGTGGAACACCACTGGTCACAGTTCTCCATTTTGAGAAACTCCCTTCTACTACAACACACTGTCTCCTGTTGCCCAGCCAGTTCTCTATCCATCTAGCTAGTACACCCTGGACCCCATGCGACTTCACCTTGTCCATCAGCCTACCATGGGGAACCTTATCAACGTCTTACTGAAGTCCATGTAGAAGTTACAGGCACAGATTGCCATGTGGGATTATGACGTTATGATACAAGGTGATAACACAGACCTAGCTCAAAGAAGGGCGAGACTGGTTGTTAAATATTCCCGATTACAAGGTGTTCCTTTTTACGAAAGGAAGAAAAGGTAGTGTTTTTGGCTAAGGAGAGCACGGCAGAGCTGGAGAGTTCAAGGACAGAATTGACTTAGCTAGAATTAAAGGAACAAGAACAGTGCAATCACTGCTTGACGTAATTCATAGAACATCCAGTTTTGGAAAGGATGCAGGGGAACAATCTGCAAGGAAATAACAGTCTTGAATAGTTATAATGGGTATCTTCAATACCTAAATATAGACTAGGATGGTGTTAATTGTGTTCAGAGAATTTTTGAACAGCAGTGTGTGTCAATTCTAATGTGAAAAGAGGCACTGCTAAACCTGGTTCTTGTGAATGCACTGGGGTGCAAATAGATCAAACATCAGTGAGAGAGCATTTAGCGGACAGTGATCATTGCATCACAACACTTAGGATGATGGTGGAAAATGGCCATGAACAATTGAGAGTGGGAATAAATCAACTGGCAGAGAGGGGACTTCAATGGGGCAAGAATGGACCTGGGCTGGATAAATTAGAACCAAAGATTGGCAGGAAAAAAGGTAGTTGAGCAATGTACCTTCAGAGGAAATGAATTAGGCATAGTCGAGATATATTCCCACAAAAGGGAAAGGGAGGGCAAACCAATCCACAGGTTAGTCTGGATGAACGTGTGGCTGGAGAGATTGCACAGGAGGAATGACTTTAGATATCTGGGACACTGGGGCCATGTTTGGGGGATGGTGGGATCTGTACAAGGCAGACAGGTTGCATTTGAACTGGAATGGGAAAGTGTGCTACTGCTGTTAGGGAGAGTTTAAACTAATTTGGTAGGAAGCGTGGGATACAGGGAGAATGTTCAGCAGGAGAAGATGAACAGCCAAAATTAGAAGTGACAGCAAGCGACTCAGGAAGGCATAGACATTATAGGCCAGTTAAGGCACAAAGAATTTAGCAAGGTTAGATAGCATTTATTTTAATGTTAGGAGTCTGACAAACTGGGCAGATGAGTTGAGGGTAGAAATTAAAACATACGGGTATGATGTCGTTGCTGTCACTGAGACATGGTTGAGAGGGGGGCAGGATTGACAGCTCAATATTCCAGAATACAGGGTCTTCAGGCGAGATAGGAAAGGTAGTGAAAGAAGAGGGTATGTCACAATTTCGATGAGGGAATCTATTACAGCAGTAAGAGGGCATGAAACATTAGAAGGTTCATCAAATAAGTTATATGGTTATAACTTAAAAATCAGCAAGGGGCAATCGCATTGCTCGGCGTGTACTATAGATCCTGAAATAGCCGGAGAGAAATAGAAGAGCAGTTATAAAGGCAAATTTCAGAGAACTGAAGTAATAGGCATATGATAGTAGGGGATTTCAAATTCCCCAACATTAACTGGGGAAACCATAGTGTGAAAAGTTTAGAGGGAGCAGAATTCTTAAAATGCATCCAGGAGAGCTTTTAAAGCCAGTAAATAGAGGCCATACAAGAGACGGGAAATCGTGGACTTAATTTTAGGCAATGAAGCTGGGCAAGGGGTTGAAGCATCAATGGGGAACGAT